TCCAATCTGACAGTAGCAGAAGAAAAGTCAGAGAAGCTTTATTAATAAAGTCAAACAATTGCACAATTAACAAATACGTAGGAACATCTCTATATGTCTTTGATCGGTATGTCCCCAAACATTCCTAATATTATGCAAATATTTCATATAATATACTCCATATTTTTTTTATATTTATTCACTTTTTGTTTTTGTTTTTCTGTTCAGCCATAAATAAACATCTCTCAATTCACGCGGATTGATATACACACGCATAAGTAACCACTATCAATTCTAGAATTTAAATACATTGTTAGATTGTTAAATATTTATTTAAATACTAAGACCTTCTTTACCGTTAAAACTTGTGTACCTGAGAATTATCGCTCCAGTGATCGAAACGTCGTATATCTTCTTTAAACAAATTTTCGTTACTGTAAAAGCTGTAACTTGTAATAAAATATTATTACAAAATGTCGCCATGCATGTTCCAGGTATCTTTGTTGATTTATCATTATATTGTTTTTCTCAATGATTGTTTAGATTCATGAATGTTAAAATCATAAATACATTTCGAAGATTTATGAAAGATCTTTAAACGATCTTTAAGATCTTCAAGTTTTTATCTTTAAACGTAAGAGAAGAAGGAAAATTAAACAATAATACATATATATGTACAGCATACTAGGAACGTGGAGTTATTATAAGATAATGTTTGTTTGATTTATTGAATTTCGCACAAAACTACTCGAGAGCTATCTGCTCTAGTTCTCTCTGATTTAAAAGTGATCGACAAGAGGAGAGGTATCTAGACAACAACACCCACTCATAACTCTTTTACCAACTAAAAGTTGGATTGACTGTCACTTTATTACGCATCCACAACTGGAAGGGCGAGCATGTTCGGTGAGGGAACTCGAAGCCGAGCGCCCTAACCACCAGACCATGCCAAAGCCCATAAAATAATGTACGAAGATTAAAATATCATTGTCGCTTACATCTTTGCTTACTTTTTCTTTCTTTCAGATAACGGTGTCCATTACATATATAATAAAAATTATAAACTTATTTTAAACACAATAGAAAACTGCCAAAGTCCAGAAAAAATTAGCTTTAGGATATAACTATAGAAATATACTAACTTTACATTTAACGTTACAAACCTTCGGCATAAAACTCTTCGTCTGGTAGCTAGGGTAATCGCCGGACAATCTGAGGGTTGTGGGCTTGAATCCCATCTCTGAATATGCTTGCCCTTTAAGCCGTGGGGGTGTTATTAAGTGTGGTTAATCCCACTGTTCCTTAGTAAAGAGTAACCCAAGAGTTGGCGGTGGGTGTTGTTGAGTAGCTACTTTCCCTCTAAGCATTCCCTTCAGAATTAGGGATGGCTAGCGCAGGTAGCCCTCGAGTAGTTTTGCGCGAAGTTGAGAAAAAATTATTTTTAATATGCTCTTCTTCTTGTGTAAATAATTTAAGTTGAATTGATAATTCCAGATCTTTAGCTAGTTTTTATCAAGTGTTCTGCAACCAGTTTTCATCTTTCATCTTACTATGTTTTTGTTTCATAATTACAAATCCAGTAGTTCAACGGTGATGAGGCTTATAACACTAAAAATTGGGTTTCCATACTCGCGGTTGGCACAGTACAGATAGTCCATTGTGTACCTTTAAGCTTGATGACAAACAAAACAAAAATTAAACAAACCTATTTAATTTTCGAATGACGCCTTTTAGGCTATGGAAATCTGGTCGTTCTGCAGGATCTTCTGCCCAGCACCTTTTCATCATCTGGACCAGTTCTTCATCATAAGATTCGTCTTGGATAACTGGTCGGAACGGTGGATTGTGCCCACTTCTAACGTTTTCAACAATTTCTGAAATTATCAAGAACCAACTAATAGTTGGGTAGATGTTTCCCACCGCATCGTGAGCTTGATGACGTTATTATGAATACAAAGAAAATCTGTAGTTTTAACGAACATTTTTTGAAAATTTTAACAGATACAGTTCAGACCAAGGTACATCACCTTCATAAGTGTGGCAAGATATGCTTTTTTTTAAAATTACGTCTGAAAGATCAAGGTAATTGTATGTTCATTACAACATCAACAGCGTCGTTTTTTAATTAAAAACATTTTAGTACCTTTAGGACTTAAGTCGAGAGTGTCAAGATAGAAAGGCCCTTGTCGTATTACAATCTCGTGCACAATGATTGCGAAACCATACACGTCACCTTTCTGTGTTCCTTCCGGTTGTGAATTACCTTTGCGAAGAAGTTCTGGCGCTGTCCATAAACTTTCTGCAATTGAAATGTATCAATTATAAGCTATTACTTCAATTGTAGAAGTCTTTGAAAATTCGGGACAAAAGTTAAATTTGGGAGTGTTTATTTCTGTTTAATGGAACTGGAAGTTTTTATAAGATTAAAAGCAATCACTTCATGAAGTGTAAGAGCACTGAATCTCTTATAATGGCTTCCTGTTTTGATGAAACATGCTTTGTTCACTTGCTTTTTGAAAACTCGAAAGTATTTCAAAACATAATAGCCTAGGCCTCATCTCAATTAGTTTAAAGAAGAGTTGGACCATTAAAAAGTATAGCTGCAGAATCATTAAAATGACATATCTAAATATTTTATAAGCTCCTTCTCACTCAACGCAAAAAAAATAATTTGTACGTCATACAAACACTGAATATAATTCATATTATTTAGATAATATAAATTTGTCACTTTTAACAGTTATATTTTTAAACGTTAATATTTTTAGGCTAAATTTGGTGTTATCAGTTTCTCAGTGTGAAATAGGCTCGTCTACAAGCAGCGATTGACAAAATCCTGTGTAATGTTTCTATTGACCGTGTTTACAGTGGGACCAGTACTTGTTTTGTGTCTGTTTTGTTTTCCCACTGTTATTATAAGTCTTGGAATACTTTTTGGCATGCTTATCACAAACAAGTATCACTATATATTTAAACAAAAGTGCCGATTTCAATGTCATCTATGTGTACACTGTGAAATAAAGCTATTGCAGTTTTTCTTATGTAAATTTTATATTTGTTGAATATATTTTTATAACTCAAAACAAAGAAAATTAACATTCTGGGCTTACAGCTCTCAGCCAAAAAAAAATTATTTTTTATTTCTTGTTTGTAATACCTGTAAGTAAAAAAATATTGCATAATACTTGCTTCTCCAATAGGCGTAAGAGCTTTCGTTTTCATTCTCATCATATGTTCTGAGACTGTGAAGTCCAAAATCGGTGATTTTTAGAACAAATCTGCTGTCCACTACACAGTTGGAAGACTTAAGGTTTCCATGGGAACGGAATTCAGTGCTATGCAGAAAAGCCATACCCTAGCAACCAAAAGATAAAGAAAAAGAGTGATGAACATGAACAAACTAAACATGGGAGAATATCTTTTGATGTTTACTTTTTGGATCATAGTCCGAAAATCCTATATCTAAATATTATTTTGTTTCACTCAACGCTGCAATTTACCATAACACTAACATTTCCAACTGTATTATGGATTTGAAAATAATGACAAATAAACATCTCATTATGAGATTCACGAAACACAATTTTGGTCTACAAGCATGTTACAGTTGCGTTTTATCAAAACCTAGCAATGTATGCCTGACAAGTTACACTTGATCTTTAAGCATGTTAGTGTTACGTTTTATCAAGACTGAGCAATGTATGTCTGATAAACTTCAAGTGATCTGAAACTCGTCTACCGTTTTAAATAGTCGTTTCGGTTTTGCTCGTACGTTCTTGAAAATAAAAGTACTTAGTTATTTGATAACGAATATATTATTATAAAAACCCGCATTTTCACTTATTGCGAAAATCAGCTGAAAACTCTAAAACATGAAAGGGTCAGTCTTACTTTGATTGACCCGGCATGGTCAGGTGGTTAGGGCATTCGACCCGCAATATGTAGGTCGCGGATTCAAATCCCCGTCACACCAAATTTGTTCGCCCTTTCAGCCGTGGGGGCGTTATAATGTGATGGTCAATCCCACTATTCGTTGATAAAAGAGTAGCCC